AAATATAATATAAAAAATCGATGAGACAATTTACACAATTTCTTAATTAATTTAATTAATCCTGAAACCCATTAGCTGACCAAACGTTACTCCCTGTTCCAGAGCAATGTCTCATTTCATCAAAATATGTTTGCTGATATCAACCCTGGCCTCGCTGGGGGAGTCTCAATCATTTTTGGACGCGATAAAAACTTACGGACCACCGCCGGTCGTCCTGAATAGAATCGACCCTAACAATAATAAATACGACTTCATCGTGGTTGGCGCCGGGTCGGCTGGTTCCGTTCTAACCAACCGTCTGTCGGAGAACAAAAAGTGGAACATTCTCTTATTAGAAGCTGGTGGACCGGAGACACTGCTCCACCAGATTCCTATACTGGTCGGTTTCTTTCAATTAACCAATTTCAATTGGGGATACAAAGTAGAGCCCCAGGCGAACGCCTGCTTGGGCATGATCAACCGGCAATGCTCCTGGCCGCGAGGTAAAGCTCTGGGTGGTACCAGCACTCTTAATTACATGATCCACACACGTGGAAACAAGCTCGATTACGATATCTGGGCAGCGCTGGGGAACGAGGGATGGTCTTACAAGGACATTCTGCATTACTACAAGAAGAGCGAGCGATTCGACGTTCCAGGTTAGATCATATAAAAAATACTAAATATATAATTATATCGTGCAATGATAAGCAAACTAAGAAAGAATTATAAGAAAGCAAGCGCGAAAGAACACTGTTTTAAAATAAATATTTAAAAGGTCCTAAATTTAATTCTTTATCAAGAATTTTATAAATACACTAAACGCTTCTCATTATGAAATGAGTTCAAAGTCGAGGATGTACACTTTGTGCGATTGGAATATTTTAATAGAATATTTTTTATACAATAATTGAATCAAGCTTCAAAACCAGATAACACTTTTCAAGGAAAAAGTGAATAATTATATTTTTATAACGAGTAAATAATTAATAAGGATAATTTATATGCTTAAAAATACTTTAATAATATATAAAATCGATACGAATGATGCAAGCAGATTAAATCCAAGTCTACATAAGAAACCGAACTTTTTCCTCACCAACGTAATAACATACCATGCACGTGCGTATGTACAATAATTAACTAATGTATACGTATCCAGGCATCAAGAATTCGACGTATCACGGGTACAAAGGTAACTTATGCGTGGAACACGTGCCTTATCACACGGAGCTGGCGACAGCGTTCCTGAAAGCAGGCAAGGAGCTGGGCTACGACATCGTCGACTACAACGGCGAGGATCAGATCGGATTCTCGTACATCCAAGCGAACACAGACAAGGGTACAAGATGCAGTGCCTCGAAGGCGTATCTACGCGTGAACAGAGCGAACCTAAACATCGTGACCGGTGCTATGGTGACCAAAGTCCTGATCGACGACGAAACTAAACGCGTTTACGGTGTCGAGTACATACAGAATAATCAGAATAAGAAAGTGTACTGTTCAAAGGAAGTGATCCTCTCGGCAGGTACCATAGACTCCGCGAAATTATTAATGTTATCTGGCATAGGCCCCAAAGAGCACTTGCAAGAATTGGGAATTAAAGTAATCGAGGATTTGCGAGTCGGATACAACATGTACGAGCACGTGGGTTTTCTAGGCCTGACGTTCTTAGTGAACCAACCGGTCTCGTTGCTGCAGAGCAGACTGGCCAGACCTAGCGTGTTCATAGAATACTTCTTAAACAGAAACGGGTTGATGTCGCTTCCAGGAGGTGCCGAAGCCTTGGCGTTCCTCAGAACTAAATACGCGACCGACAGCAGACCGGATGTCGAACTTTTGTTCGCGTCTGGGTCTCTGCACTCGGACGGAGGCTTACCGTTGAAGAAAGCTCTGCGAATAACCGACGAACTTTATAACACCGTTTATAAACCGATCGAGAACCAGGACGGCTGGTCCATCTGGCCGATCATGCAGAATCCCAGAAGCGTCGGCAGGCTCACCTTGAAATCAAAGGACCCGCTCGATCCTCCTATAATGCAACCGAATTTTTTTACCCACCCGGCCGATGTAGAAATTATTTTAGAAGGCATCAAACACGCTATCAATATTTCGAAGACCGAACCGTTCCAGAAATACGGAACCAGATTGCACTCTATTAAAATTCCTGGGTGCAGAGCGTACGAATTCGCCAGCGACGATTACTGGCGCTGCGCTATTAAACATCTACCGTCGATGATGAACCACGAGATAGGAACGGTTAAAATGGGACCGAAAACTGACCCCGACGCCGTGGTGGACCCACGGTTGAGGGTGTACGGAATTCAAGGATTGAGAGTTGCCGACGCTTCTATAATGCCGACGATGCCCGTGGGTCACGTGAACGCCGGTATTTACATGATCGGCGAAAAGGCAGCTGATATGATCAAACAAGCCTGGCAGTGATAATTGAAAGACTTAATGATCCTGGCTTCAAGGCTGACGATCTTCGTACAGGATGTTTACGTGATACTGAATTAGAGAGCACGTGATGCACCTCTGCGATTAGTTTCGTGCTTATCGTGAATATTATTCCTGGGCCAACGATACGACGCGAGACCGAGATTTTTTCCTTATAGGAAATCGACTGTACGATCGATTGAAACAATCTATATGATTAACTTCGATACCAGCGTAGAATGACTCGTTCCGAACTACTGAACGATTAATTGAAACCGTGAAATATTATGCAACCGAAGAGTCTTCGGTCATACGACAATTTCGGTTGATCAGCTAGAGGAGATAATGAACGATTTGCGTGTAGAACGCGAGGCGATCAGGTGACCCACATAATGTTCATTCCGGTAAAAGGGAACCCCGCGTGTAAAAATACGCAACGCGCTTATCACCGATGACGTAAGCGGCGAGATGAGTCATACGTTGTTCGCGTTCTGATATCGACTTCCGCGTAGAATTGGAAGATAATCTCGATGGATCAAGCTACTTCTACGAATATCCTTTGTTTATATCGACTGTCGTGTCACGGGTGATATTAGTGCCATGCGACGAATTCCTTTTGTCTAATTACGAATAAACTTTTAATTTCATATATTAGCTACTGTTTAATAATTACGTAGAAAATGTATTCATGTTCACATCTATTTAATTTATAAATAGACGTGCATTCGTACAGAAGATAAATTTGCATATTTGCTTGTTTAACGGATGGAGGAAACTATGTTTAACTCTTGCATTCGTCAAAACAAGCAGACATTTATTTTGCAGAAAATTATTCCTATTTATGCGAGGATTTAATGAAACTATGAATAGAAAAATAGAAATCTAATGTTATAATACTAGCTTGACCAGTGAAAGATGTTCAGATTATTAACCCTGTGATCCGGTTCCCAATTGGCTGAGTTAAGCTACATAGATGGAAGAGTTTATGAATTTAACCTTCAAATCATTTGACGCCACCTCATCTTCTCCCAGCGTTTCAAACGCTTTCATCAATAGATTGTGTACAAACTAAAGATAACGTGTATATTTAAATTCATAAAAATGCATCTAATCTATATACTTTACTTACTTGTTTTACAAAGTATGTACTATATAGACCTGATGACTTTAATCACTGCTTTGCTTACACATATCAATCACTTGAGATCGACCACCACTTGTAGTTAGAAAAAGTGGATTAAATTACGATCTCGTATACAATTAACATACTATTAAACTATTACAAAGGTTGAAATTACACACGAACAGTATCCGATAATACGACTTAGTATCTCGTCAAGTTGACGAGCTCAAAGAACGTGCAGAAATCGTCTGTTCGAGAGAAGCTTAAGAAATGCATTGAAATCGTTTGTCCGAAGGATGCGTGCAAATGAATATTGCGTAAAACCGGCGATGAAAAGCCTGCGACGAAGTATCAAGCGCAGCAGCCCTAAGTTGATATATTGCGACGCTTGACAAAAGAGACGGAATCTTTTAATCACGTACCTGATACGACGAGGGCTTCGTTTGGACCGCAGGTATGAAAGTTTCCCATCGCCAGATGAAATTCTCGTCAACGAGGATGCAACGATAAACCCGGCACAAGCGAGCAACCTCTACACTAACACGGTTAACACTAAACTAATTCATACGTCTGCTCGGCAGTGTTCAGATCACGAATTTAATCGGGACGACCTTGGTAAATCACTGATAAACACGCAAACAACCCCCGGGGTTAATCGCGCGTCAGGAAGGTTACGATGTCACTCACAAAGCCACTACCCGAAAATTATTTGTAGCCTTTTGTAAAACTCTAGCGGTTACTGGCACTGCTGCCAACCTTTGCGCGCTGACGCAGCCACGATTCCCCCGCGCTAATCAAATACCTTACTCGTCGATAAATTATTATTTACAAATAAATTATGTAGCTTAGAATTTATATAACTTTATATTATGACTATTGATATATCCTTGTACCATACTAAACGATAAATAAACTGAATAAAATTATGACAATTCTACTTATTTTAAATCCAGCACGATATGTGTTTTAATTATAGGAAATTAATGATTTAACGAAGTCTGATTAGAACGATTGATGAATTAAATATGCAATATGTAAATTTAACGACAGATCCATGTAGGGGAGAAATCCTAATCTGATTTATTGGTAATACTGCAGAAACGTAAACGAAGAAACATAACCTACATCGTTGCTTGCTAAATACAAAAGGTCCGTGAGAAAAATCTCGATAAGCTTCGTATTCGAATAAAATCTAAAGTTCGAACTGCGAATTATTAAAAATTTTGTACACGATATAAAAAATTCGTGAATTACGAAATGTCGGAAGACGAGGTTGAGAGTTTCGAGATCACGGATTACGATCTTGAAAATGAATTCAATATTAATCGTCCCAGGAGGAAATTGTCTAAGAAGCAACAAATGCTGGGTAAGTACTTCAATTCCTTCATGTCTAACACGAATTTTAAAATCTTAACGAAACATTGTTACCTCAGGCATTTGGGCGGACGATAGCGACGAGGATGAACTGTCTACTAGGCCATCGTTCAAAACCTTTGACAAAGGGCCAAAGAATTACACAGCTCCTGTGAATTTCGTAGCTGGTGGGATCCAGCAAGCTGGGAAACCGAAGGAAGAGAAGGACGAGAAAGATGAGGATGAAAGTGACAATGAAAATAAAAGAGAATTCCCGAATAGTTCTAGGTAAATTTGACTTGCCATTTCCCTCTATGAAAATTGTAATTCACATTGTAATATATAATTTTCCACAGTTCTGAAGACGAGAAGTCGACTGTACATCAACGAGCGTCGTTTTCTATGAACACCGATGGAGATATCGCGGGTTTACGTAAGAAGAAGCACAAAGTGAATCCTGCACTGATACAGAGTGGCATGGGTAGTTGGGAAGTCTATACAAAAGGTATTGGAGCTAAATTATTGCTACAGGTATATATGAAGTATTAATTATGCCATCGATTACACGTTACACATGTATTCATATTGACTGATCTGTTTCTGATTTAGATGGGATTTGAACCTGGGAAAGGATTGGGGAAACAGTTGCAAGGTATAAGCGCGCCTGTCGAAGCACACTTGAGGAAAGGCAGAGGCGCAATCGGAGCTTATGGCCCAGAGAAAGCTCCGAAAGTACCAGAGAAAAAGAAAGAAGATGAATCAGAAGAAGGGAAAGAATCTAAAGCTAAAATGTCACAGTGGAGGAAAGGAGATGTATCCAAGAAGAAAGTGAATTATGTATATCGTAGTGTCGATCAAGTATTAGAAGATGGAAAGCTGAAACCTAACAAGAAATCGAGGGTATCTAACGAGATGAGCAGGGTCAAAGTCATAGATATGACAGGGCCGGAGCAAAGGATCCTAAGTGGATATCACGCGATAGCTGGCGGTCAACAGCGACCCGATGAGACAGTAGTGGTCACTGATAAAAAGGCGAAAGTGAATTTCGCACTGCCCGAGCTTCAACACAATTTAAATATATTAGTAGACATGTGCGAACAGGATATCATACAGAACGACAGACGGACGAGGTATCTCGGTGACAGAGTGATCGCGCTGGAAGCAGAGAAGAAAAATCTGTCGAAAGTTATAAATCACCATGGTCAGCAGATCGATACTTTAGAAAACGTTCTCGCCATAGTCGACAGATTAATGGACGACACGAGCCAGTTGACGTTACAAGAGACCGCGGATGCTTTCAAAGATTTGCAAGATAAATATTACGAGGAATACAAGATGTACGAGCTCGGTGAACTGGCCAGCAGTTTCGTCGGGCCGAAGATAAAGGATTGTCTGATGAGCTGGAATCCACTGATACAACCTAGACAACCTATTAGATTGTTCGAACAGTGGAAGAATATTTTAGAAAGTGGTACGACCACTCTACAGTCGCGAACTATGCATCCGTATGACCAGCTTGTTTGGAACTCCTGGATGCCGTCTATCAGGGGAGCTACGCAGTGAGTATCTCGTGTCGCGAAGTAGTAATTTATCATAATCATATTATTGATTTTCTTAATAGGCAGTGGACGTGCAGACAACCGGAACCATTAATTGAATTAATAGAATATTGGATGCCACTACTCCCGAATTGGATATTAGAAAACATTTTAGACATGCTGGTTCTGCCTAAACTTACTCTGGAAGTGGAAGAATGGAACCCTCTCACAGATACAGTACCTATTCATACGTGGATTCATCCTTGGCTGCCACTTTTACGTAAGTTACATCATTTAATTCGATTGTAAATATTATTAAAATGAATATTAATATGTTAGGAAATCGTTTGGACACTTTGATCTATCCGATAATAAGGCGGAAATTGGGCTCTGCCCTGGGCGGTTGGCATCCGTCCGATAGATCCGCCAGATTGATGTTACAACCGTGGTCGAACGTGTTCGCGAAAGGTGACATGGAAGCGTTCCTCGTGAAAAACATAATTCCCAAATTGCAAATAGCCCTCTCGGAATTCGTTATAAATCCGCATCAGCAACACTTGGAACAATGGAACTGGGTGTACGAATGGAAGGAATTGATCCCGACTCACATAATGGCCAACCTGCTAGACAAGTTCTTCTTCCCGAAATGGTTGCAAGTTCTAGCTCTCTGGTTAAATCATTCACCTAATTACGATCAAGTCACGAACTGGTACATGGGATGGAAGAACATGTTGAGCGAAAAAATATTAGCCGAACCTTTAGTGAAAGGTAAGCGACAGTACATCAGATTTAATCTGTCCTCGTGAATTAAAGTGATTAAAGTTTTGTGATTGCTGATTCGCAGAGCACTTCAAGAAAGCGTTAGAGATGATGAACAGAGCAGTTACGGGGTCGCAGAGTCATCAACCGGGCGCGATGGAGCAAGTTTCTTATCTAACTAGTTTAGAGAGAACGCAGCCTACCATGTCACAGATGCCACCGACCGCACAACCGAGGATGGAGGTATGCACTATCAAAATTGTATAAAACCAGCCTTGACACCTCTCTATCTTTGCTTATCGGTATGTACTTTCATTTTTACAGAGGCTCGCCGAAGCAGTTAGAACAGCGTCGCAGATACCACACGGTTTCAAAGATCTCGTCCAAAAGAAATGCGAGGAAAGAGGTATTTTGTTTATGCCCATACCGAACAGATACAGGGAAGCGAAACAAGTTTATAAGGTGGGCAACGTGCAGGCGTACATTGACGGGAATGTTTTATTCGTTTGCCATAATGGCATGAACTGGATGCCGACGCATTTAAACGCTTTACTAGACATGTCTGAACTCTAGAAACAATTGTATATAATTGTATTGTACATATATTGTAAAGTATAGAATGTAAGACTCATTGGACACCTAGAATTGATTTCAAGCTCTTTTGTACGATTTCTGCTGTATAATAAATTATTATATGGCATGTTTAAAATGTCTGTCTAGATGCTTAATCCTTCCCTTGTATCCTACCTAATCGAAGTCTAGACGTTTCGCATTACGTCTCTTTCGGGTCTCGATCCCGGCGAGGCGTTTCCGCGAATGTTTGTTTTACTGGCTACACCTTCTGTTCGAGAGCGTGGCTCGAAGTCGAACGAACGAACGCGTGTAGGCGCCCCTGGTTATCCCACTACTCGAGGCGTAGCAATAAAACTCCTCGATATGGAAAGTTGCGCATGATCCCGTCGAGAGTCATACGTATGTACCCTACAGAGTCGCCCAATGGGCAACGTGTTTCAACCACCACGGTGAGTGCCGGGGCCTCGTGTCTGACACACACCATGGGCGCCATCATGGGTGCCACGTATTTAATTGTTTATTAAATTACATATTTAATTCGCTTCCCCATTCATTAAATTTAACTGAAGCAGAGATCGACATACGTTTTTACTATGTAATAAACGGAAGTGCACTCTGTTTTGCGATATTCTGCTAAATTGCATATAAACGAAACAATAATACTTCTGATAATTTATTTTTATTATTTTTACTTATTTGGGACAAGAAATACGCGGCACCCAGATTTTTTATTTGAAATATTGAACCCTGGATCTCGTCGTGGAAATTCTTCACACGTATTAATATCTAATCTATAATATGTATCCTAACACGTATTTATTTTCTCGCGGTGACTATATCCTTCCCAATCGGACACAGCGTAATCACGTACAGTCGCGTTAGCCTGAATGCATGCTTAACAATTTCGAGGCATAATCGAGTACAAGAAACTCGGCGCTACTTTTGCATACCACAGATCGAACAAGGTCCGATTCTAAATAGGTGACGCCTATGGAGGAGACCACTACCAACGAGTCCGCGTCTCGTACAGTAAGTACGTATAAAGGACTGGTTCTGCAAGAGGATGGACATCTCTCGCCTACACGCCTAGCAGATCCATGCTCTCGGGTGTCGAGGAAATTTGCATCGGATCGGAGAGCGTGTCTGCCTAGTAACTGGCTCTGCGTTTACTGACTCCGCGAGCCAGGATTCGAGAAACGGTCCCTACACTCTCCTACTTTTCCAGCGTGTATAAACGGCCACGACGATGCTATCGTGAACGTACAGACGTACCTAATTAAACAGAAGACGAAAAATGATTTTAGCGAGAAATAATGAATCGATCTCTACTCGTTTGCCCGGTCTTTTAGGAAACGTAATTTACGTGGAAGGGAACGACTGAATCATTGAGACTGTCGGTACATATTCATGAGGTACGCGTACATATGCACAAGAACGGGGCACTTGTCGAACTGGCTGACCATCTTAACTTCTATCGTACAAGGGGACACTCGAGGCGAAGTTATCTCGCGAAAGGAAATATCGGATTGAACGTTTCGCGTTTGGAAAAATGTAGCCATCGTGCAATGGAAAAGGAATGTGTCGCGTGGTTACTCTTCTGCAATGTAGTTTTTTTCTTAGACTTTATATTGGAATAGCTAATGTATATTCGGGCTAATTAGTGCAAGACGACCAGATTGCAACATTGACTGATCTGATAAGGGTGAGGAACATGTATAATCAGCAGACTGATAAGCTGAAATCTGGGTTCACTTGAAATCATGTACGACTGTTGCACCTGTACGATATTTAATTTTTAATTATTCCCCAGCATTGCGAGTCAACTTTATTGACTCGTTCGATAAATCTCGTGCTCCCGGGTTATTGAACTCACTTTTACCCTCTCGCTGTTCGTTTTCAGCAAAATGTGATCGCGCCCAAACATTCCAATCCCACGCAAATCGCTGTCCCTATATATCCCTCCGCGAAATACCACGGAAATAGTCACGGGGATCGCCGAAGCGACATTGACGACTAGTAAATATGTATCAATATGTAAACAGCTAGTACATGCACAGAACGGTTAAATAGGAAATCTACTGTTCATGTAATGGACCGTTTAGCTAACAGGTGTTCATATAACAAAATGTTCACGTAACGGAGATTCCACTGCATGGAATCCAAAGTTATGCTCGCATGTCTGCGACGGTTTTCTACCGATGCATCGTAAATCATGAGAATTTGAAATCCCCGGGAGATGAAAATTGAACCGGTGCATCTACGATATTACTGGGTCCTCCGGTGATGCTAGCAAAACACTGGGTAAATGCAAAAGCTATTGCAAGAAGTTTAATGCGAAGAGCGCATGATGCATATCTAGATAAGATTACAGCCGTCCTTCAGCTTCAGTCGTTATTTCTTTTTGTTTTCATATTACCTGAAGAAGTCGCCGGTGCTACCAGTCCGCGGGGATTTAATCCTACGACGTTTCCGTTAATGTACGTCGGGATTGATAAAAAAGAGATAGATAAAGAAGCTCCTACAAAGTATGTTTCCTTATTATAGTCTACAACAAAAATATATTGGCCGGTCGGTCTATTCTCTTGCACGTACGCAGCCGACCGAGGCACCTGCGCGTCTCGGGGGCGAAACGCGGTAGAGGTAAGAGAGAGAGCGCGAGGAACAAAAAGATAGGGTGACGTTCGATCGAACGATTTTCTCCGGGGCCTTTAATCAAGAAGGAGGTAACTCGTAAGTAACGTAACTACGCGATGTAGCGGGTAATGAGTAATGACATCTGGTCAGCGCAGGGCGGAGCCAACAGGTCCCACGCGGTCTCAAAGACTTTGTATCTGTATACATACATATATACCATCGTATGAACATGAACGTGGCTTGGCTACTCACTCGCTTGCTCGCACCAACACCGTCCTCCTCGGTTTATGCTCGTTTAAACACTTGCGAACACTCGATTTTAAACGACCTCCATCCGTGGCCGCTCTCGTCCGCCGTACACTGTCGTTCGTGCGAACCGCAGATTTATGCGATTCAATTAATTCATGCCAGCTTCGAAGTTCCTGGATACAAAAAATTAGTCCGATTAAAAATTGAGTAATGATAAAGATAGCCGGGGGACTCTAATTGAAGTTAACATAAATAATGAGTCAAATAAAATATTTCGATTAAAATAGAGGAATACTCCGACACATCTAATAAACTATTAACTCATAACTAAACTCGTTAGATAGTAATGAGAAATTTCAGATATTCCTAACTGGCAACCAACAACAAGTACTAATTTCCCTGTTGCACTTCCGATTTATTAAACTAATCGTCGAGCATCTTTATCTGCACAGAACCAAAGCCTCGCCTCGATTTTCACCGAGCTTATTAGTTAATTGCTGGATTGCGTAAGCGAAGTCAAACAGTTCCCTCGCGCGTTTCTAAACGCTCCGAGCACGATTATAAATCCATTTCATAACGCGACCTGGCCTGTTCGGTGCCAGCGGTACAAGCGTATACACGCGCTTGCTTGCATACTCGTACGTGTACATCCTCGTCCATAAATCTCGAGACAACTTACAAAACGCATAGAAAATGAATGATGAGGACGTAGCAAAAGTATCGATGGAACAAATAGAAAGTTAATAGACGCGACGATAGATAATTTAATCTCTCCCTTCTACAGGAATTATTGTCAAAATCTATGGTATTCGATTAGTTTAAATATGATAGTCAGTTCATAACAATTTCTGTCGAGTCAATTAGTTAAAAGTGAAAGCTGACTCTTCTTCGTTCACTAGCCATTTCAATGCAAATTAAAACAGCTTTTTATGTATTGTATACATTGATTTTCTCGATTGAAATAATACATGTTTGAGAATTTCATTCGATTCTTTTAATAGCGATTGAAATTCGTGTCTCGAGACTTGCAAGCAGGATTGTATATCGAGGAGGCAATATGTTCGCGTTAAAGCAAAATATCCGGCTGCTAAATACGGTATAAACGTATTTTATAATCATACCGCGAGCGAGCTATACTGTTGCACAGGGCCTCAGCTCGGTTCGCTGACGTCTGAATCGTAATTGCGTACGAAATATTATAGTCCGCGACGAGGTACTGCCTAATACGGGTATACCTTCTACGGGGAGATAAACTACCCTACATTAGGTTGTCTAACATCTTCTCTCACATCTCGCGCGTACACGAACGTTCGCCTGGTTGTGTAACGGTTTAATAGCAAGAACTATATTACTGGCATAAAATAACGAGAATACGCTGTGTCCCGCGAAAATACCTATGTACCAGAGAGATACGCGCGTACAGTACCGTTCGAAAGCTGCGAATATGTCGAACCATGCCTTAAAGTATGATTAGAGACTCCCTTCCAAATATTGTAGTATCTCTATAAGGATTGTAGACGACTCACGATTTCAATCGACAATTACTGTATTCGATTAGTAATAATAGGAATAGTATTTATCCTGAAAATTGATCATAAATATTCTCTACCATTTTATACATCAATCGACATCGACCCTCTATTCACAAGAAGACGATTGCTTTTGGTACTTGAAAGGAGCTGAATTTATTCGCGCGAACGGTCCGTCGCTGGACTCTTTGTTAGCCCGGTAAGTCGACTTCTTCCTCCGTGCTATTAAACCGTGCGAGATAACAAGATTGTAAAGTCCCATGGAACTTATTTACGAAGCTTTATAAAACAACTTTGACGCTGCTGTCTCTGGTTCCAATTTTAAAACGTATAACAACGTACGTTCGGCCTTGTTCACATCTGCACAACTGCCAAGATTTACAGTCCAATTAAGTCCCAATGTCAAACGGGAAATTTTATTTCGTCCACCTGAAAAATCATTAGAATTTATTGCTATTCATTACGGTTTTCGGATTGAACGATTATTTCGAGGAAGCAGTTTGGAGCGGTTTCCTAAACGGTTACAGTGGTGGGAAAATGTGTTTGGAAACTGTGCGAGCACTTTCTACTGTGTCCACTTTATAAAATCGACCGCTCTAAGTGGATTCGGTTGTTGGCGAGTGTACAGATGTGGACCAGGGCTAAATTCGATTAATTTGCATCGGTGAGGACTTCGCGTTGAAACGTTTCTCGGCCGAGACGTCTATGTCGCACGTCGGAAAGGAATACGCGGGTAAGGACGAGAAAGTGGTCCATTGCCCGGCGCGTTGGCCGCGTCGGCCGGCCGTGTGCGGTGCACCGAGGCCGCGTTATTAAGCAAAAATATCGCGCCGTTTTCAGGATATTAACGAACCGAGTTTTACAAGATAACCGTAAACCGTCTACCACCGGCTCGTATATTTAAGCCGAGTCTGAACGCTCTATGAACGAATACGACAAATCCCGTGGTTCGGTTCTGACCTTCTTTGGCGCGACGGCGTGGGCGCGTTTACTTCAGACGGAATTACAGTCTGCACTTACTCCGTCTTATGCCTCGAGTCGTTTCGGTATAAGTAACTGTAATCGCGAACCGTGACCGTCGCTCGTATTATCTAGTTTACGCAATTATGCATAAATCTCGCGGATACCTTCGATCTCGACAAATAAATAACGTCAGATGAAAACTAATTATTAATCGCCGCTGAATAATTTCAATAAAAAATAGAACTCGTCGATGCCGTTGCCGTGCCTATTGAACAGACCCGGAAATGATTATCACCGCATAGATTCACCGGTGCAGCGGTCATTGAATTTGGAATTCGTCGCGAGAGAACTGGTTTAACTTCGATCGTTTTACACTCGGGAACCTCGCGTTAGCTGGGACGCAGCCGGTGCATGTATTTAGAAATTGCCCTGTTATCTCGATACCTTATGTCGCCAACGTGAAAAGTAATGATCGCAGTTTTCATGTTACACCGAAAATAGAACGATCAAGATGCCTGCAGAGACTTGGCAATTTTCATTGCACTCGTTTACATGTCTGAATCCTAGGATTATTGTTTTTCTTAAAAGAAATACCGAATGAATATCGTGATGATTTGCATTTGTCAATAAATGAAATTTTGATTATCATTAAGACACGTCCTTCTTAATATTTTGTATTCTTATTTCAATTGGAATCGGGCAGAGTTAAATGATCTAAAACGTGTCTATCCGGACACGAGATCCAATGTACGGTACATTTATGTAGAATATAATATCGAGAAAAGTTGGTCAGTCGCCAAGGAATGTAAATCACACAGATAGCCCGATCTCTACGCAGAATCGTATAATAAAGAAACTTAAACTTACTGATTCTTTATTAGACCACGTGATCGTAACGGATATGCAAAACTGGAGTAAAGTGCCAGATGCTGTTTGGCGATAGGAATGAGAGCAATTCAGACGATTGCCTTTGCAGTCAAGCGTCATACTAATACCCATACACGTGTACTCAGCTATCTACGAAATAAGCTGTTTTCATTGAGCGCACGGTATACGGAACGATAAACTATTATCAAGAATTTATAGTATTGTTAGAATATTATTTTTACCTTGCCGCGTTTCTAGTACAGTGAGTTGCCAGACGCGGATATCGCGTGAAGAGAAATACTATTAGAAGCTTGAATTATTGTTTCACCACCTGCGCCGGTGAAAGAATTACGACTCGCTTCCGCTCATACGTGCAACTATCGCAATCCTGACAAAAAGTACATCCGTTCTCGAAACTGTTTACGCATTCCCATTGATCTTTTTCTAACGACGATCAAAGTGCGTTGATATCGACACGAGATAATAACGAAGGTACCCAATTTCCTGTTTTACAGAAATCCGAACGACGGTTGCACGTAATTGCAACATTTTATAAATATATTTTCGTTTCCTCATCGATTTGGCAAACGATGTTCCAACCGGGATGGAAACACGGGTTTACACGAATTGTCATGCAACAATTTATTACGACCACCGTTCGTGCTCGGCGTCTCGTCGCTTAAATGTGCATCCAAGCCGTGTTAATATAGCGATTCTTGAAAATTTTCGTCCGGCCGCATCGTTCACAAATCATAAACGCGTCTCGGGCAACGAAATTATGCGCCCACCTTATTTACACGCGCCGTGCGTAAATTACGCGTCGACGGTGGACCGGTTTCGATCGAGCTGAACTCGAGACGACCTCCATCTCTCGCCTGCAACGAGTATAAAAGAATATGTATCTAATACCTTTCTAAAAACTAGACAAGTTTCTCTGTATATGTCACAATTTCTAATATCCTTGTTCCAAAACTTAAAGAGGTTACTTTATATGTGTCATAATTTCTAATACCTCTGTCAAATATGCTGATAAGAATGTGCAACAAGGAAACAGTGTTAACTGGACTACGTAGTAACAGTTTAAGAAATCTGTTTCAAATAGAAATCTCTCGAACGTTGCATGTAATCTAAATGTTCTCATACATGTGTTTATATTTGTTTGTACTTTCAATTTCTTCGTAAATACATAAAATTCTTAAAGCGTATACTTACTGGAGGCAGATTTCTCAGCTATATTTAAGATAGAAACATTACACTACTCGTATTCACTAGAACACTATCCTTCAAAACAGAAGGCAATCGCGTGTTGCGAGAAAAGCACAGGATGTAAAACCTACATTTCTTTGTTTACGATTTTATCTACGCTCCCGGTAGATAAAGAAACTATACTCTTCTACTTAGTATAATCTTTGTAAGATAACATTTTCAATGTACTGATAAGTGTCTGTTTTTGTTTGCCTAACCGTTACGTCTATTGACGACAAAAAACCGTTGCGACTCCATTCAAACGTGGAATCGAAATATCGAGAACATTTGTTGTATGAGAAATATATATGAAATATACCATTTGCGTGGTAGTTGTATGCTCTCAGGGCAGCTCCAGACACATTTACTTCGAAAAATTACGTTAGTTTCATTGACAGAAAGATCCGAATGGATTCGAATGAACGTCTTCGTGTTGGTCGGCACAGATACGTGACTCCAGTCCCATGGCAGCCGGCTTGGGGGAAGGAGGCCGAGATCGCACGAAGCCCGGCGAACACGGACGAATAGCGGAGCTCGAATCACGGAATGCCGCGACGCGTCGGGTTCGAACGCGTGCACGAGCTGGCTGTCTCGCTTGTCTCCCCTCGTGCGTCGTTCAAGAGGCCCGTCCTCTGTCACTTCTCCGTAAATCACGTAACCCCGGGCGACCACGGAGTTGACGGTGTCCCGAGGATAAGTACCGCGCTCCGCCATCGTCGCTGTCTCACCCTCGACGGCGTCGTTCCCGGATCACTAGGAGTGGAGAAAACTTCCCTTCGACTTGGACAGAAGCGAGTGAATCTCGACGAGATGAACTCGTCGCCCGCGCGCGACAATTGAATCCGCGATTCGTCGACGCGCGCGCATCTTCGCAAGTACGTCGACGCGACACGCGGACGTTCGGTTCGAGTTCTCGTGACGATCCCGCGGACAAACGTTGCCCCTTCGTGTAATTCGCGTCCGTGAACGTTTCTCGAAGTGCGTGGAAGATCGAACACGAAAAATGTGGTTTACGTACACTGTGCTGATCGTAGGCTGACCTTCGAGCGCGTGCCGCGGTTTCGTGAAGCACGCGCCGGATTCTGACGGACGACGAGAAGACATCCCGTTTTGTTGACAAGCGTTTCGGAAGCTGTTCACCGATCAGAGTTATGGATTCTTCTCATCCAATGGTGAGTCGTTTTACTTCTCTTATTGTTGCGTTAATCGACTGACGTCATCGCTTTTTTCTCGGAAGTATCATCTTCCGCGGACAGTTTCGTTTTCCGTTCATTTCATAGTACCATTTGTATTATGAAATATTGATTTCTGATGTCAGACTCGTACGAGTATGGCTTATAAGACTGCACTTTTATTGTGTCACGTGTGTCGGTGTAGTGTGTATTAGGTTAGTGCAGAAGTTCGTGCCAGATTCTTAAAGGCGGGTCAGATCTAATCACACTTTGGTATGTATGTATGTATTTGTTTTAGCATTATGTTACGAACCGATCGAAAGTACCCTCCTAACCTTAGACACCATTGATTTACATTGATTTCTGCTTGAGAGTGGTTTTCAGTGTGACGAAAGAAGAATTTATTTTCGCTATCTTATGTGATACGAATGTCGAAAGGGCCTGAAAGAGAATGTCTGTGAGTATTTATTTATCAATTTCCATCTACTACAATCGAAGAAATTAGTTAAACCCCTAAGTATCATAATTTCATATTCGAGTCTGGCAAATCGTCGGACATTGCAAATTTCATGAATGTTTTTTTAATATATAGGATCAATGGGATGACTCGGAAAAATTACCATGTATACTATTCGTATAGTAGTACATCTCCGATGATTTTCAGAACTATCGACACGTTAGCGAAAAAGAATCGCAAAAATCATATTCTAAGTAGTCTGGGATTATTTGCATATATGCAAATCTTCGATCTGGCAGAGAAACGATAGAAAACAGAGATGACTTACATAAAAGCGAGCGTTTGTATCCTCATTTCAATTCAATATAATTCCAAATCCGGTAAGAACTTTTGCACTGACTGCATATCAAATTGAACGAGCAATGTTCAATCATCGATCGAATCTTAATCATGTGATCTGTGCATAAGTCGACGAGCCTCGTTACGACGTTAATCAAATTTCCAACGATTTCCCGTGACCAAGCATAACGATCGTCGGATTTGGCTAAGATCGATTATCCAGCATTTCAACGAATAGAGACATTTCTCATTATTAGTGGCGAACAAGTTCTGGTCGAGGGATACAGTGAGTCGCAAAAGTGAACGTCTTGCAAAAATAAATTGTAACGTTATCATATCGATGAGACTTTACTGACTCCTGGCTCTCGCTGTGAGCGTTATTATGTCATCAAGCGCAGTGGTTGGCGCGTACAATGGATACCTAAGGATATTTTCATAATCGCGAACGGAATGATAATAACAGCGGTCGTAATTTACGGCACCATAGAAAAGGTTATTAGCGTGGAACGGTGCAAAAGCAGCGATTCGCGTGTCACGGCATAAAGCAGCCAGTCGTCGCCGGGAAATCGCGATTCATCGCGCTTAACGACCGCGGTTTCTTTATTTATCAGTTTCTAGAATAAAGCATACGGGCAGCCTATGAAATACGTTCGTGTAACGAACCACGTCCCGAGTACAGGTTTCTTATCTTTTAATCGGATGTTGGCTACGCTAAGATGAAATGAATGATACCAGTTTATCCTAGAGCGAGAAGAATATTTTTTCTCACTTTGTTTCGGCGACGGCAGAGTATATTTCGAAATTAACGTTTCTTCATTTTTTTATAAACTGGTTTCCAGTTATATTGTTCATTCATAGTTGAGACGTACATAAATTAAGTTACGAATAGTTCAGTTATTACTGCCTGTATTATCAAATAGACGAAATTTCCACCGTTTCATTCTTCCAGTCAGTATAGATACGAAAAATTTGAATAATTGCTTTAAGATTATGTAAGTACACAGATAAGTTGAACAAATTCAATGCTTTTATTCCGTGTATGTATATAAAGTGTATACAGTCACCTGATCTCGTTCGTGCGATCAAGATTTAAATTACAAGAGATTTATTCCCGTGACGAGAAGTCACGGTCGCGAGAGGGGCGGGGTGATCGGTACAATTAATTGCAAATTTATCGCCGCATCATCGCAACGGTTGTCCGTAATAAGGCGAATAAATCGGACGGGGGAGAGAACCGCGGGGCGAAATCGTGTAGCTAACAAAGTCGCCGCAATCGTGACTGCAATTGCGGCGCAGATGAGCTTCGCCGGGTTTCAGTCGAGATAACGATCACCCCGCGACGTTATCTCGATCCTCACGGGCCTCCCGGACGTCACCGAAGTTCCAATTTCGTACAAATTACTCGGATTCATGTACCCCTCGCGTCACTATGTACCGTGATATATGTTTCCCGTCGTTCCTTTTCACAGCTGACGTTTACACGGAATTAAAACTGTGTCGCTCGCTCGTTCCCATCCTTAAACACGGTATCCAGTGCGTAGATAACGATCTCCTCGTCGTTATCTCGTTCCTCATCTGCCGTGATCGCCACCGATGTTCCAGCTCTGCGTAAAGTTATCGGCTTCCTCGCGGACTTTTTTCCTTATATGCTTATCCGCGTGGCTGTACGTTCTCCTCGGCTACTCGAGAGCTGATTTTTACCGAACGAAAGTCGTGTCGCTGTTTGTCACGACATTCAGATCGAAAGATTCAGCGTGGAGAGATCATGTCTCCGATCTCTCATGAATCATATTTTCTGTAAGATTTTCCATGCTCTGATTCCTTCCAAGAGTCACGTCTGAGTCTTATCAGAGAGATGTGTGCCTCTCGGCACTGTTCTGACAATTAAATCTCAAGTCCCGTTCTCAGGATTTTAATCAAAGATTCAATAACAATTTTTTATTGATTCTTTGAGACAGTTATAAATTTCTGTATAAGAAAACAGGTTGCATTTCTTCATATAACTCTTTTAGGAAATAACTATTAATTATAAAAATAACTGTTTTAGGAAAATTATAAATCCAAGGGGAAAAAGTGAGATAAAGGACGATGGTCACTTGTCCGTGAATTGTAGTA